TGCAGTGCCCTGAAAAGGTTCAAAAAACTGGACAAAGAATGGCAGGAGATCTAACAGCAATACGGTAATGACGTGATAAAGACGAGTGCGACAGCGGTTTCACCTGCAAAAGCTGACACGTTTGTCGAAGAGATGGACACAGGTGGCGAGGGTGACGTCGAGTCAGTTGTCGAAGACGGAGAGGAAACTGGAACTGATATCAGGCCTGGGAAAAGGAAGGAGCGAAATTCCCCAGACTCAATGACCAGCCATACTAAGAAGAAGAAGGACCTTAAACCAAGTCCTCCGAAAAACGCGGTAACACAGAACGGCGGAGAGAAGGAGGTGAATGAGTGGCAAAAAGTCCAGTCAAGGAAGTCCAAGAGAGAGCAAGCAAAAGAAAAGCTCCAAAAGCAACCACCGAAGGAGCCTAGGCCAGAGCCTAAGCGGAAAAAACCGCGCAAACGGATCAGGCCGGACGCACTGATCATCCGCCCAGCAGAGACGGCAAGGTATGCTGAGATTCTGAAGCGAATAAAGCAGGACGTCCCTGACGAACAGGTCCGTACTACAGTGGATAAGATCCAAAGAACTAGGACCGGGAGCTTGCTAATTACGCTTTCGAGGAAGAGCACTGACCGAGGCCAACCCTTACAGAAGACCATCGCGGGCATCTTCCAAGAAGACGCGAAGGTAATCTGCAGTGGACCACAGGAAGATATTGAAATCCGAGATCTTGACGATACTACAACCAAGGAGGATATCCAGGCCGCCTTGCAAACGGTAATCGGAGAAACCTGCGAGATACCACTAGGGACAATTAAGACTTGTAAGGCCTACAGAGGTACTCAGACAGCTGTTGTGACACTACCAGCAGCTGCAGTGCGGAAGATATTGGCAGGAAGCGGTAAAGTCCGGATCGGCTGGGCCAACTGCCGAATCAGAGCTACGAGGAGACCAATCCAAAGTTTCAAGTGCTGGCACTTTGGACACCATGGATCCCAGTGCAAGAGCAATGTGGATCGGTCTAAGCAATGTGTTAGGTGCGGACAAGAGGGACACAAGATTGCTGAATGCAAAAACCCAGCGAAATGTGTATTATGTGCGGATCAAAGTGCGGAGAACGCGGCCCATCATGCCGGCGCATCCAGGTGCCCAGTATTTAAAGAGGCACTCCAGAAGATAACAAACAAATAGACATGAAAATATTGCAGCTAAACCTAAATCATTGCGAAGCTGCACATGATCTGCTTATGCAAACAGCAAGAGAACTAGAGTTAGACTTAGTAATGATAGCAGAGCCATACAGACACCTGAATACCCAACCTTGGGAATCTAACAGCACCGCCAAGGCTGTCATCTGGTCTTTTGGTAAACATAGGGATGCTTACTGAAAGGGTCCAGAGTGTAGTTAACAATGATAATGCCGGCTTTGTAGCAGCAACAGTTAACGGCATCCGTTTCTACAGCTGTTATGCACCACCTAGTCTATCCATTGTTGAATTCACTGAATTCTTGGACAAACTGACCGAGGACGCCAAGCAGCATCATCCAGTTGCGATTGCCGGTGACTTCACCTCCTGGGCAGTAGACTCGGGCAGCAAGCATACAAACGCGCGAGGAAACGAACTACTAGAAGCCTTTTCTCCATTAGATGTAGTACTTCTCAACAGTGATGATACACCAACCTACACCAAAGGAGACGCAAGTTCTATTGTAGATCTTACTTTCGTCAGTAGCAGCCTCACCAGAACTAATATCAACTGGAAGGTGATGGATACCTACGCAGCCAGCGACCACAACGCGATTTTCTGGGAAATATTAAACGTCCAGAGCCTGAAAAGACCTAAAAAGCAACTTAACACCATTGGTTAGAAGGTAAAAACTCTTGACCCAAGTGCATTGTCAGTAGATCTCAATAGTGACCAGATTATCGCGGGCTGCGCAGAAGAGAAGACCAAGGACTTGATGAAAAGAGTGACCCAGGCTTGTGACGCCAGTATGTCTCGTAGACGTGGCATGAACAGAAGACCTTCCGTTCACTGGTGGAACGACCACATCAGCGCCCTTCGTAAAGAGTGTCATCAGAAGAGAATATCTCAGCGTGGCTACCGACGACCTACCTCTGCGGAGCTGGTCGCAGAGTACAAAAAAGCCCGTTGATCCCTGAACAAAGCCATCAAAGACAGCAAAAGAAAATGCTGGAAGGAGCACATCAACGAGGTGGATAGAGATTTGTTGGTTAGGCCGTATCAGGTGGTCATGACCCATCTTAAAAACCAGCTAATGCCATCTCCCACGTGTCCTCAACTCCTACATAATATCGTAAACGCGTTGTTCCCCGAACAAAGCGAGTTTAAGTACCTATTAGCGCAGAATGAAATGGATGACATTCCATCTGTCACGGAGGAAGAACTGATGGAGGGTTGTAATCGTGTAGGGAACAATAAAGCGCCGGGATTGGACGGGTTCCCTAATATTGCTTTAAAAACAACTATAAAAGCAGTGCCATCATTGTTCCTGGACGTCTACGACAGTTTGAATTTACTTTATTTACTTACAATTTCTTGGTGTCTGCATGATAAAGATCCGTGAGTTTGCCTCCAGTGCAGGTTACCGTAGGATATTTTAGTGACTAGGACTTAAATTATATTAAATGCACTTAATCACCTATTATTTTAATCTAAATAATCTTATTAGCTTTAGATAACGCAATAGTAAACACAATAAAACACTTTACTTTTATTATAGCAATATAAACTTTCGTTAACGGTTAACTTTGTTACTTTGGAATAATTTATCGCAAAATTTATTTAAGATTTTAACTAATAATTCTTGTTATGAATTGATTCAATTGATTGGCAAGTAATCGTCTAATCATAATAAGTTAGTGGTAATTATTGCTAGAGATATATTGGTCTGTAAGAAAAACGTGGGGGCTCGTGCCAAGTGTAGGATCGAAGTCCTGATCGAATTTCGGGTAGCTAGTATTAGGCTGGAAGGCGCGGGATAATTCGCACTGTCTCTGCCTATAGTTCGAATTTAGCTGAACACCTCCTCAAGAATAACCGACTCTATCTGCAAGCAGCATCTGTCAACCACATGTCTGAGAGAAATCTGCTTCAAGCTATCGTCTAGTTTGTTGTGTTACAACTTTTTTTTATAAAATCGTTATTGAGTGGCGCTTCTTACGGTAAATGTCAGAGATTATTTACTGAATGCACTAGTAGTCAATTGCATTAAACGTCTTCAATATTCCTCGATTAAGAATACTTTATATTCTGATTAGGGCTACAAGCATGAAATCAATAAGAGTCTCGTGATATTCTGGTCTTCTAAAAATAGATATAGCGTCATTTATAAATTCACGTTCAAGTCTGATCACAATAATACTACCTACTTCGTTCTTGAGTTCATCTCAACACTAGACATATAGTAACGGTAAAGTTTTTACTTCAATGTACTATTAGAGAAATACAATTTACAAGCCGTCGCTTAATTTAACTTCACACTACATCTCTAACTACTTAAGTCAAAAAAATAAACTTATATGAGCTGAAATCAATTGTTTTATGCACCGAGTAAGTTCATATTTTCGATTCGGATATGTAGCTATATTTTGATAAACGAAATCTCTAATAGAGACAGTAAGAAGACGAGTGACTAATTGCAATTAGTCAATAACAATTGTTATTCAAGAAGAACATATATTATTAGAAATTTGATTAATCCTCTTATTTTGCATATCGTAATTTATAACTGAAACAAGCCAGTTAAGATGATTTAGTATTAAATTTAATCCAAAAAAGTTAAAAAATTCAACATTTTAGTTTTTTTGAATCAACTAGAAGGAATATTCACAGTGACTTATGTGACTTTCGTATTCTTGCCTACAAATTATAGCAAGCTATACCATCCTTGACTTCATGTAAACCTATCATAAGCATTCAGCTCATATCATGACAGCACTATTGCAAAAGTATTTGCTTTATAGTCTAATGTAGCATCAACTATTATTATAAATAATCGACATTGTTATATTAAAGTAATTGTAAAAAAAAAGAAAAAAACCTTTTCTTTTCATGTTTCGTGGAACTAAGATCAAAAGTTCTATTAAGGTTTAGACTAACCCTGTAAGAAAATAAACTCTTCATTCTGATATTTCAATGTTACACATCACATTTCTCACTTTACTGTCAAAATAACATAGAAAAATTTTTTTTTGCTCCTTCTTATTCTTGTTATTTGCTAAAGGTCATACAAAGAATGCGTTTAGGTATAATTAAAGCACATTGAAGTCTTGCAAATTGTACAAAAAAGATCTCTTACATTTTTTGATTCATTCATTCCTTCAAAAATTATTTATTTTATTAAATTCAGTATTAGTAAACCGAACAACAAAGCCATCCTTAGGGTTCTATGTACGTAAAATAAATAATGTAATTCTTAAAAATAAAAGAAAAAATTTCAATTAACGAAATAAATGTGTTAGAATGAGTATGAAACCTCCATATGCGAGAAATCTCCATTTCTTCAATGAACTATAATATAAAGTACCAGGTATCGTTAAACATACTTAATCGCGAGAGAGTATAAAATCATTAATTGAACAGACATCTAGATTATTATCAAGCTTTTACAAAGTGTTGAAAGATTTCATCAACTGATACATGGATGCTGATGAAGCAAAACTTATAGATTCTAATAATCTTAGGCAGTCATTTTTCTTTGGACTAAACGTGAAATGTACATGACTAGAGTACAGATTTTTCCGTCTCGCAATGTAAAGAACTTCAGTCTTCAGCATAAATCTGTAATATCAGATCCTTAAGCTGGATCAGCACCATCAACCTTTCAGATTAAGAATTTTTAGTAGACTTCATAGAAATTTAATTATGGCATTGGTTCACATGACAGAACTTTTGAAAAATTTTTGTATATTTTGACTTAGCTCGTCAAGCAGATACAGAAAACTACATATGGTTCAAAAGTTTATATATGTATGTATTTGTAGAATAAAAATGGCCATTCGGCAGCCGAAATGGAAGTAGATTTCATGATGAAAAGCATTAAAACAACTAAGATTATAGAAAAAAAAAATAAATAACGTTCAATAAAGAAAGAAAAGAATTATTGTACTTCAGTACTTTTCAGTCAGTTTCTGTAACTCGCACTGGTTCACCGGTAGAGTCGTACAAAGTACAATTTTTGAAAAAAATATAATTTCTTTTAATTTTTCGAGCAAATCACCAATGGTAGGAAGAAAAAAAGGACTGACTCATAAAAAAAAGTCATCCAACCAATATTTAATGAATTTACAGCCATTTTTATAGCGGGAAACGTAAGAAATTGATAAATACTAACTCATAATGTTATGTAGATTTATTTTTTCTGTTTATTACCATTAAGTTTCCCTACACTACAAATTTTTTTCAAATTATTATGATTTCTCACCCATAATAAATATTGAAACAACACAAAAACTAATTAAAAAAACTACAAGAATAAAATTATAACATAGATCTTGCAATTTTTCAATATTTTTGTCGTTTACGAAAAAAATAAAAATGAAGATTATTTAATTTTTTGTAGCAAAATTCCTAAATTAGTAAAAAATTTAATTTTTCCCATTGTCAACTTTATTCACGCCAACTTTGTATAAGTAGAAATCATTCTTTGAAAAACTGCAGCAAGCAGTCCCAAGAAGGCATATTCTATCATTGCTCTAGTTAATTAGCATGATATTACCGTTTCTATTGTCTTTGTTGAAAAATTTGACCCTTTATGGCATACCTAACCTCAAAATAATTTTCTCATTGTTTGTTGTATTAAGTGATTAATCCGAGAATCAATTGACGCTGATACTAAGACAGAATAAGCCAATTTTTTAATAAACTATATTCAATTTACTATTTTAATATCAATTTTTCGCTGTCACTTGTGTTTAATGGTATAAATCGTATTTAAATTATTTCTTGATATTCTTCAGTATTTATTTGATTATATTTCATTAACTTTCTAATCTAACTATTGTTCATTATGACTGAAGTAATTGGTAATAGGACATATAACTATTTAGTTGGCTTTCAAATTATAGAATTTAATTGTTATAAAATACCTACTTATCGTGACGTTATTAATTTATTTATGTATAAGCATTTGACGTTAAATTTGACAATACGTACCAGTGCTACCGAAGCTATTGATGAACTAGAGGCTATGTGGGATAAAATTGGAATTCCCACGACACTGAAACGAAATAGTATTCGAAAATTTGAAAAGTTTTATGACGATTACAAAGACATTAAGAAACGAAAATCTCTTAAAAATCTCTCAGACAATCAAAAACACAAAGTGGAAAATTTCGTTAATCAATTGAACAAATTATTCGATATTGCTGATAATAGTGAAGTTGAGAATCTTCCGAGTGATTTACAATTATTTTTAGAAGAATGTCGACAAAATGATGGCAATAAATGTTTACCATTAATATTTAAGTTAAACGAAAATGCAATAGTACTTTCTGATCAATCAGTTTTGCAAGATATACAGGATGAAATACAAGATAAAAATAACAACATTAAATTTAGTAAGTATAGAATTCTATTCCCACTGATGGTTGACTTGTGATTTCTGCATTCATAATAATGAATTAATCCTATTGTCATGTTAAATTTCACACTTTTTGGCATTCATTTTCGTGATTCTTAGTAAATTCTGTCGTCGTATCCTTAGAATATTGAAAAAAGTTAAAATTTTATTTTTGTTCATTACAATAGTAGCGTATCAATACATCTCTTTTTTAACAGATTATTATTTTCAAAATAATCTTTACTCACTATTACAATTGAAAAGACTTATGGAACGATTATTTCATAAAATAATTATTTCTTAAGAGATCGTAATCTTCTATTTTATAATTAATATACATTAATCTTTTTGTAGATCTGAGTCAAAAATTATCGCAGTTCTCAATGTCTAATGAAAGAAGTAGCCAATCATCAAATCAATCTGAAAAACAACCTTTGTTAGATTACGAAGATGAGTTTCCACAGGCTAAAAGGAAACGTAAGGTTGATGTTATGACTGAAGTTCTAGTAGCAGTACTGGATCACACTAAAACCAGTAATCGAAGTGCAATGCATATTATTTCTGCTGTCATTACTAGTCTTGGATTAGATATTGACAATTATAATATCAGTTACACGACTATTCGCAATGCTCGATTAAAATTCAGAAAAACAGTTGCTGGGAATTTGAAAGAAGGAATACAGGAAACTGCACAAAATTTTATCGTACACTGGGACGGTAAGTTACTTCCGGAACTTTCAAATCAGCCAATGAAAAAAGTCGAAAGACTTCCTATTGTTGTTTCCGAGATGGATGTGGAACAATTACTCGGTGTACCTCCTTTAGATGAATATACTGGAGCTAATGAAGCTAAAGTTATTTTTGAAGCGTTAAATGAGTGGAATGTTACTGACAATATAGTGGGAATGTGCTTTGACACTACTAGTGTAAATACTGATAAATTTTAACTTTAATTCAATTTATATATATACTACTTGTAAAAATTGAAGGAACAAAAAATTTATTAATTTTCATTCGCTAATTTAATTTTTACGAGTAATTTATGATTTCAATTATTTGATAATTTTGACTCTTTGTTCAAGGTGATAAAAGCGGTGCGTGTATTCTATTAGAAAAAAAATTAAATAAAGAGTTATTGTATTTGGCTTGCAGGCACCATATTTTTAAAATAATGTTGAAAAATGAAGCAGCAGTAGCGTGGCCAAGTACTAATAGTCCTAATGTAACGATTTTTGTCAGAATTAAAAGTAATTTGGAAAAAATAGACAAGTTAAAATATAACATCGGTACAGAAGATGTTATAATTAAAGATATTCTGGACGAAAAAAAAAAGTAATCTACTACCCTTCATCGAAGATCATCTACAGGTAAAAATATTGTAAAGTTTTTTACTAACGAAAAAAATTATTGCTGAGTTGTGCTTTGTTTCTCTCACTGAGTAAACAATATTCATATTTTAATATTAACTACATTTAATTTTTACAGAATCGAACTTCAAGAGATGACTATCAAGAACTTTTGACGTTGAGCTACATTTTTTTAGGAGGTGTACCAAACAAAGGTGTAAAATTTAGAGCTCCTGGTGCTATGCACCATGCTCGTTGGCTATCAAAAGCTATTTATAGTTTAAAAATATATATGTTCAGAAAACAATTTCACGTCAACCCTTCAGAATTATTAACTTTACGAGAAGTTTGCTTATTTATTATTTTTTTTTTATGTTGAAGCATGGTTCGTAGCAACAAGTGCTATTAAAGCTCCGTATCATGACTTGAAACTATTTCAAAAATTATTAGAGTATAAAAAAGATCACGCAAAAATTGCAGAAGCTGCTTTAGAGAAACTTTCCAAGCATTTGTGGTACTTAAACGAGAACCTTACAGGCTTGGCGCTTTTTGATCAAAATTATCCCGAGAAGAAAAATTAAAAATAGTGGATTCTATTAAAAACAAAAAATCGAACAATAGTATATATTCTCGATTTACTTTAGACAGGAAAAAGCTTGAAATAATGTCGTCTAAAAGTATAAGTAATTTTGTGACTCAAAAATCTATCACGATTTTTGATAAGTTTAATTTGACGTGTGAATTTTTAGACATCGACCCTGATTTGTGGGAAACAGATCAAGAATACATTACTTGCTGCGAAACTTTAAAAAAACTACGTGTTGTTAATGATACTGACGAACGATGTGTTGCACTCATTGAAAAATTTAACGAATTTGGTACATATGATGAAGATCAGAAACAATATTTATTATTAACAGTTCAACAATGTAGAAAAGACTTTCCAACGTGCGCCAAAAAGCTAAATTCAGCTTCAAAATTTTGATGTGTTTTCAATAACACTAGTAATTATTTAAATTAATTAACTTGTTTTTCATGACTACTTAGATGTTTATAACATTTGAAGCATTTTACATAAGAATGTAACCTTCTATACATTTTCATTAAATTTTTGTTGCTTTTTGATGAATTCATGTATTGTTTTTGTATTCATTATGAGTAAAAAATCATACTAATTTTAAAAAAGTTCTTAGTGTAGGGAAATATAATGGCAATAAATAGAAAAAATAAATCTAAATAACATAATGAGTTAGTATTTATCAATTTCTTACGTTTCCCGCTATAAAAATGGCTGTAAATTTATTAAATATTGGTTGGATGACTTTTTTTTATGAGTCAGTCCTTTTTTCTTCCTACCATTGGTGATTTGCTCGAAAAATTAAAAGAAATTATATTTTTTTCAAAAATTGTACTTTGACAACTCCTACCGGTGAACCAGTGCGAGTTACACAAAAAAAACTTTAAGGCTTTTTTGAAGAGCGTGAAATCCTCCACAAGGTCCATCAAATCGATTTGCAATATTGTAAAAGCCGGCTAAGCATTAAAAATTTGAAAAAAAAAAAAATTT